ATTGATCCGACCTTTAAAGGCACCGTTAACATGATTTTGGGTAATCCAGATTATAATGAAAAACGAAAGACAAGATCGAAACTAGTGCGACTGAGGTGAAGAAACTGCGTGCATCGAAGTTTTCACAGTGAAAAGGGCCTCGAAAAAACGTTAAAAAGGGGGCTGGACGTGAATGAAACCAGGAAAATGGAGAAGGTGGGGCGCCCGGACAAGCTAAACAGTGCGTTTCACTGCGCGCGTGTGGGTCCTGGTGCGAAGAACAGACAATGGTAATCCACAATTTGTTCACTTATAAGCATAAATAAACAAAAAAAAACCTTAGTAACAGCAAAAGTAGCTCACCTTTTCCAGCCTCTAGGAGTAGGAAATCAAATAAGGGATCGCGGCAGCAAAAAGAAAAACAGAGAAAAGAAGAATGGGAGAAAAACATCGCCTCATAACACGGCGGTTAGCTTTTTGTGCGTGGGTCCTAGAACGAATAATAGCAATCTGTTTTGTCTCGACACTCGTCTGACGTGACACCGATCAAGGGGCGGAGGGCGACCGTGGATATCTCTCCGGCCCCTTATTGTGCCCTATTCAGCCGTTTTTCGACCTCATTCCTGTACGAATGGTACCAGAGGGGGCTTCGAATTCAAACCATGCGCAAATCTCCGAACCACTTTTTTGTGAACAGTGCCTTTAATCATCCGGTCATGCCGCGCGCTACTCGTAACCCGGCCAAACTCGAACGATTTGTTCCGGTGAAATGGGAAAACTGTTTCGGATGGTGATTCTCTAGGTAGTCGACTTTTCCATCTTTTCTGCCTCCGGCCTCTTAAAATGTACCGCCGCTAGGAATACTGACCCTATAATCGATAAGATGCTCATCGCACTCATAAACAAGTTTTATATTGAAGTGTCTGGTGCAGTGAGTGAAGAAAAACGTGGTCGGAGCATGGTAACTTCGGGGTTACCCGACTTGAGCACCAGCATGAAGCCGTCCGAAAAACAAAGAGAATTGAAAAACAAGGTTTGTGATGTGCTTGACATTCTGAAGGTAGAATGCAGGGCTGTTGAATTTTACCGAATGAAAAAGTTCAGCGAGCTACGTCCACACCTAGTCAAAGTTTTGTTACTTTCCGAAACACACTGGATAATGACCTTATCTAGCGCTCACTTTCTACGCTCTTCGAGCTACTCAGGCGTCTTTGAACGCAAGAGCATGACTTTTGAAGGAAGAAAGCATGATTGTGAGTTTCGCTAGAAAGCCAAAAAGCGGAGCGTTGATCCGGGACAGAAGATGTGGGTGGTCTACCGCGGCGAATTGAAAAATTGTAACGACCTTAAATCCTCCCCACCCTCGTTTCACAATTCGAGAAAGGGGCAAAAAGCCGTCATCTAATCGCGAGCTTGAGAAGTTTTCTTCTGAATGCACGAAGCCGCACAAATATTGGGTTGTCCGGAAAGTTTCCGCCGATTTTTGATTCATCTTTGAATGAAAATCCCTAGAAGAAGAAATCCATTGATTGAACAATATATCCTCCATTCTGTTGAGTAAGGATTCGCCATCTTCCTGTAGGTTCCAGTTCCTATCTTCCATAGAAGGTTCCAGACTTGAAATCGAAAAACCCTCTCAGGTGCTTTCTGCAGTCCTCCAGCGAACTGAACGATTTTCCATTCAAAGAATTTTGCAGAAACCCAAACGAGTGGTATTCTGATGGTGCTATGTTTGGACTATATAGGGGATGTGGTAAGACATCCCATCCAAGCTTTAGCAACTTTTGACAAGTGGCCAAAAATACGTGTGGTCTGGAGGTACCCTGTTGGAAGATTACGCCCTCACAATTGGCCACTTCGGGTCGCTTTTGGTCTATCGCTGCCTCCATATTTTCTAGCTAACTATAGTACCTTTACTAAGTCATCATTTGATTATGCGACAACAGCTCATGATAAGTGATTTCCCTGGAATCCCACCAGCAACTCGGCATAGATCTCTCGAACTCCTCAGTCAGCAATAGTCAGCAATAGTCGCGGTTCGAATTATTTCATGGATTCGAAATCTTCGAATCCATGAAATAATTTGAACGCGACTATTGCTACCTAAATGCAGAAGTGACGATTTATCAATCTCTTGATAAATCTTCACTTCTGCATTTAGGTAGCAATAGTCGCGGTTCAAATTATTTCATGGATGGTGATCAACTCAATGAGGTGAGGGAAATGAGAGACCTGGGCTTCATTATTGATCATAAACTGATGTTCGATTCTCATTGTATGACGATAGCTGAGAGGAGGCTTTTTCAACTATTGAGGAGCCTATATACTAGGGACCCTGGCATACTTGTAAGAGCTTATAAAATATATGTGCGCCCGATTCTTGAATATGGAACAGAAGTATTCTTTCCTCGAACTAAAAAAGATACTGCTAGATTAGAAGCTGTGCAGAATAGTTTTACCAGGAAAGTCCTGATTCGGGCTTTGGGTTTCTGTTATGAATCCATCCCTAGAGCAGCTACAAGAAATAGGATACCTGGAATCGAGTCACTTCTTAGTAGAAGGAAGAAGCAAGATGTTGTTATGCTATTTAGAATACTCACTGGGAGATCAGTTGTTGATTTAAAGGGAGCTCTCACTCTTCAACCATCAAATACCCGTGGGAGTAATTTGAAACCATACTTTCCTAGGTCTAGGTCCAATGTTAGAGCAAANATATGGAACGGAAGTATTCTTCCCTCGAACTAAAAAAGATACTGCTAGACTGGAAGCTGTGCAGAATAGTTTTACAAGGAAAGTCTTGATTCGGGCTTCGGGTTTCTGTTATAAATCCATCCCTAGAGCAGCTACAAGAAATAGGATACCTGGAATCGAGTCACTTCTTAGTAGAAGGAAGAAGCAAGATGTTGTTATGCTATTCAGAATACTCACTGAGAGATCAGTTGTTGAGTTAAAGGGAGCTCTCACTCTTCAACCATCAAATACCCGTGGGAATATTTTGAAACCTTACTTTCCTAGGTCTAGGTCCAACGTTAGAGCAAATTTCTTTGTTAATCGGGCATCTTCTGAGTTTCGGGAATTGGTTAAGAAATACTCCCTGCCCAAAACTTTGTCGCAGTTCAAACGAGCACTGAAAAAATACTTGGCTGAGAGCTACACTGGTTAGGCTCATTTTTAGTTTTGCCTTAGTGGAAGTTTCATAAGGTTTTATTTCTCTTTCAATGGCTTTTGCTTTGATCAGCTGTCTTTTACTACCTGGTTCTCTTGGATCTTGGTTATTTATATGATTTGTTTTTGTAGTACGCTGTGTTCATGTACTGACTGTACATGTTACTAAATAAATAAATAAATAGGCTTCCGCACCTAGATTTTGACTTTTGCAGCGATTTATGACGGCTCACTAGGGGGGTCCACGATTGTTTTCGCTCCTCATTGCTGTACACAATCCAATTTTCGTCCGTCGCGCACATGCGTTTCAGAAATTGCTCATTTTTATTCTTTGAGCAACGAGTCGCACATGGAGGCGCGGTCCAACATATTGCGCTCGCTCCTTTCGCCAGATATCTAAACGTCAAGGCGCTTTACAAAACCAAGTGTCTGCAGATGACCATGGATGGCTAGTTTCGGAATATCAAGCCCTTGTCCTACTCAACGAGCAGTGATGTGCCGATTCGCTTCGGTTTACATTTTGAGTTGGTCGTTTAATCTGATGATGGTCTCCCTGAGGGTTGCCAGTCTTCGAAGGCAAATTCACTCTGTTTGGATTCCGCAAACTATTCATGCACTGTACGTTCCTCTAGGGCATGGTTTACTCAAACGTCATATATCTTTCATCCGGCTTGAGCCGCATTCTAGGCCTTGCGGTATAAGAAATACTTCAGATGTCGCAGTGGTTCTTCATTTCGTACGAGTCCTGTACAGAAAAACTTCGATAAATGTTGAGAATCCCGAGAGGAATATAGAGGAGGACGTACTCTTTCAGAAAAAATATAACTTCATTAGGTTGAGTCCTTGATCTTTTGCACAACGGCTGATAAATCCGGCGTTTCAAAAATCGGCGGAAACTTTTCGGACAACCCAATAAATTACATCATTTTCATCACTTCTTATCTGTTCAGAAACCGGATTTTGTTTTCATCTGTGGAACTTGACTAAATGAAAATATCGAAGATTCCGACCCGTCCGACACCCGTCTACCACCTCAACGTGGTAGGAGGCTGGCGTTTAGGCTTGTAGGCGTGTCCGATTTTCAAAAGTTTTGTTTATGTAACGATAATATTCCTGTTTCTTTCTGGTTTTTTTAGTATTTTATCATCGCAAGCTCTAATGCAAAGCTCCGGTGCTGTTCAGTCATGCGAGGGTTTATCTTGACCGACTTGCCGCTTCGCGTTAGAAGCTGTGATCAGGTTGACGTGGAGGGATGGCGGCCCTCCTGCTTGAGTCCCCCTTGTCCGTCCTCCCGAGGTCGCGGTTGAATCCGTTCTTCACGTGTTAAGTTGCGCACAGCAAGCCCCGGTACGTTACGTTTAAGTCATCGCGTTCTGGATCATGGACCAGGACTCGCTAGGGGAAATATCCGCCTACCAAAGGGGAGGCGTACTGTCGCCTTACCGCATGCTCTGTCACTACCATCGGATGTCGGATTATATGGTCCGAAAACTCTCGCCAAAACTTCCTACTGGTCGATGGAGTTTTGCGTTGTAGCCTTCATCATTTTTCAAATACCATTTATATAAATATCTATATAAAACTAATAGTTCAACGGCACGTCTACATGTCTGAACGGCTAAGAGCAGGCCTCAGCTCCCTCTGATCCAGAATGGCTATAGCCACGATGGTGAAGACTCAGCACTGGCCCTGGCAAGGCAGTGTTGAGACTACAGGGGGCAAGCTTGCTAGAACAGCAATAAAATAGCTTCAGTACCCCGCGCACTGGGCCCAGCCGTCTCCGGCGTCGGACGGTATGGCGACCGGTGAGAGGCAAAGGAATTTTGAGTTACGCAGGGCGCCTTGGATTTTGGTCTATGACAGCACTCCCTCCACATGACACAGAGACTGTTTCCTACTCTATAACTACAACGCGAGCACAGTCGCTTCCAATGCAGCTCTCCATGAGCTCCTCGATGCGGCTCCTCACATTATGTGATTGCGCTGCAAGAAACCAAGAGCAAGAAAATCGACGTGCGACGAATGAACGATGGAATATCATCATTCGTGGTGAAAAGCTTCCATCGCAAAACGTTGACGGCGTTGGTTTCGTCGTGCACCCATCTGTCGTCCATCTCGTCGATTCTCACGAGATTCTGTCTCCTCGCTTTGCCATCCTACGCCTACGACATACGCACATGAAGACCATCTCTATCTAAACTGCTACTCTCCATACTCTGCAGCTGATGAAGTAGAGCTCGATGCGTTTTACGACCAACTTGAGCAAATCATCCACAACGAAAAGTCCTTCTAGAAAGTCGTTGTTGGGAATTTCAACGCTAGGCTTGGCGAAGCACAAGAGGAGGAGTTCAGGAATGGAAAGTTCAGATTGGGGAACAGGAACGAGAACGTCTAGCGGGACTCCTCTTCGCGGCTCGACTCTTCCATTGAAATTCTTTCTTCCAGGAGAAGGAACATCACCGCTGGACATGGGAGTCTCCAAACGTTACAACTCATGCTGAACTGGACCAAACATTTTGGTGTAGTACCATCTTTTTGCAATGGTTCCTATCATCGACTCCTTCGCGCTATGATCAGATTCAGTCTTAAGCTGGAAAAGATCTCTCAACATCGCGCAAAGAGCCCGAAGCATGTTGTATACGACGGAGACGTTCTGAATGACGTCTTGTCTCGATATGACTGGCAGGTCCTGGATGATCCGACCGAACTACGATGCGCTGGTTCGGGGTCTCCTCACTTGTGCTGAACAGGCTAAGCTTCCGCAAGTGGATACCCCCGCGCGCATTTCAGATGAGACGAAGGATCTTCTCAGACCAAGAAGAAGCTCGAGGCTTGACCAAAACGCCATACATCTCGAAAGGCTGCAAGCGAATATCAGCTGCAGACAAGCAGTGCGGCGAGACCTTCAGCTCTACAGGGAGAGGAGACAGCTGGAGGCAGCCTCGAACAGAACTAGTCTGAGAAAATGCCATCGGGATATTCAGGACCACAACATCCCACTTTCGCATTTGAAGAAGGAGGATGGAACACACACATCGAGATTTGAGATGGAGGAAGTTACACGAAGGTTTTACACCAAACTCTACCGATCCAGGACACACGTGCGAAAACCCAAAATCCCCACTGGCGGAATAGCACCTCGGATCCTTCCTTCGGAGGTGAGAGTCGCGATTACGAGCATGAAAACGGGCACAGCCCCAGGCCTCGACAAGATCTTAGCCGACCTACTTCGTGCAAGAGGCCATGAACTTCATGCGCTTCTCGCAACACATATGACATCCTACCTCCAGAAGGAGATGATCCCCAACCAGTGGAGGAACTCGCAAGTGGCCATTCTTCACAAGAAGGGAGACCGAGATGATCTTCGCAGTTACCGCCCAATAAGCTTGTTAAAAGTGCTCCACAAGCTATTCACGAAGATCATTCTGACCCGCATATCGCGAACGCTGGATGAATTCAACCTGTAGAGCAGGCCGGATTCCGGATGGGATTCAGCTGCTCAGACCACATCCAAGCGGTCGCAATGGTCATCGAAGTGAGCCGAGAATTCCGAATGTCTCTTGTCCTTACCTCCATCGACTATGAAAAAGCTTTTGACAGCGTCGAAACGAATGCGGTCCTGTCAGCGCTGATCGATCAAGGAGTGGACCCTCCCTACATAAGAACACTAGCTGACTGCAGCAGTCGCTGCAGCGCGACGGTGAAGCTGTTCCAACGAAATCTCCCCATTCCCATAGGGAAGGGTGAGACAGGGCGACACTATTTCGTCGAAGCTATTCACCGCCGCG